GACCTTGCGCTTTCAAGGCAGGCGCTGGAACCACTGAGCTAAATCCCCAGCCCTAATTGGTTCTTTCTTGAGGTACAACAAAGGAACCAATTCAAAAGTCTAGAGTAGATTTACTGTAGTTTCTTACCAAAATAATTCAGTGTGAGGGTTTTTTTTTTGGGGGGGGGGTTGCTGGAGATTAAAACCAGGGCCTTATACATGCTAAGCATGTACTCTACCACTATGCTACAGTCTACAGTACCTTTTCATTTTTTTATTTTTTGGTACTGGGGATCGAACTCAGGATCTTGTGCTTTCAAGGCAGGCGGCAGAACCACTGAGCTAAATCCCCGACCTACATCTTTTTATTTTTTAAACGCTTCTCGGGAATGACTAACATTTTATTGACCTTTCTTGGCAATATATTCTAGCAACATTCTCTGGAATAAACTGATCACATGGCTTCCTATCTTTTTTACCATGTTGATGATTATTAGCCAATTTTTCAGTGCATATATACAGATATGAAAGATATATCCACTTTATTCTACTTAGCTTTTTCTTCCAAATTTTTTTTGGGGGGAGTACCGTGGATCAAACGCGGGACCTTGCACTTGCGAGGCAGGCGGTGGAACCACTGAGCTAAATGCCCAGCCCCTTTCTTCCAAATATTTTAGTAGTGCACCTAAGTTACTAACTTCTTACCAGAAAAGATGTCACATGCAAAATGGGAGGAACCAGGTCCAGGGATTTAGCAGTGGTTCCAAAGCCTGCCTTGCAAGCGCAAGGACCTGAGTTCTATCCCCGGTACCAAAACAAACAAAAAAACAAGATGGGAGGCACCTTATTTGTTTTTTTATAAGAAATAATGGGCCAGGGATTTAGCTCAGTGGTGCCACCGCCTGCCTTACAAGCACAAGGTCCCGAGTTTGATCCCCAGTACAAAAAAAAAAAAAAGAACATTTTTGAATAGCATTTCCAAAAGATATACTCTATATTTTTTATACTCTATATTTAAATACCCTGAGAAAACCCCATGTCCATATGTTGTTCCTTCCTAGTACAAAATTTCTTCTCTTCCAAGTCAAAACTAAATGATGTCACAGCCTTTGGTATATTTATTTCTTCAAACAAAAGCTTTCACTCTTAATGTGCTGTTTAATACATCATTTAATCTCAAAAGTAGAAATTATGATCTCCATTTCACAAGTAAGAGTGAAACTCAAAAAAAGTTTAGTAACTTTCCCAGTGAGACTCAAACCCAAGTATTTTAAAGTTCCAAACCAGTATCATTCATTCTACACTACCAGCTTTCTCCTTACTCAAACTATCACTGGCTGTTTTCCTATAAGTCACATTCATGCTGTGAACATGATCTGAAGTCAATAATCCTACTTCTTATGGAAGCCACTGATGTGGCCCATAACTTAGCTATGTGTCCAGGACTCTGTAGCACAAGGGTTCTTAAACTAGGGATTGGGTAACTGATCTTCTAACTAGACGCATATAAAGAATTACTGATAGCTTTGGGTTTTACTACAAAACAGTCTTCAGATTATTTTTAGGAAGGGAGAAGGGCCACAATAGGAAAAAGATACTTACTTTCATTTACTTGGCTATCATACATCAATAGTTTTCTATTCTTTCACCTATAAAATGGGGATTATGTATCAGGATTTGTAAGGATTAAAATAACCTTCTATAGGGGCCAGGGATATAGCCCAGTGGTGCCGCTGCCTGCCTCAAAAGCGCAAGGTCCTGAGTTCGATCCCTGGTACCAAAAAAACCCCACTAAAGAACCATAGTAGGTACCAGGGATCGAACTCAGGACCTTGCACTTGCAAGGCAGGAGGCAGAACCATTGAGCTAAATCCCCAGCCCTTCAGTGGCATTTAATATCAGTTCCTATTCTTTTCTCATCCTCTGCATGCCTATCACATCAAAGTATCATGTTAAATCCAACTTTAAAACTCGTCTTCAACTTCATTTACCTTCCCATGCAAACTCAGTTTTCATACTACCCCATCCCATTTTGACTACTCTAAAATCCACTGGACCTAACATTTATATCCTGTGTGTACTTGTTATGTTGAAATGTTAAATCACTAAGCCAGCTTTTACCTTCTTGTGGGCAGAAAATGTGTCTTAATTACTCCTTACCTAACCCTGTGCCTACACAAGTAACTAGCAATCAAATCTATTAAACCACTTTACCTTGGTAAGTACTATGACAAACATTTAAGTGAAAGTATAAAGTTTATGATCCATTGCTTTGCCTTAATCACATTTCCACTCTGATGTACTCAGAATGTTTTTATTAGTCATAAACTTTTCTACTCACATTTGTGCTCTCTACAGCTAATTTCTTATTGAAACACAGATAGTCAAAATTTATCAGTTTGAATTCTGAAACAAAACATAGAACACAGTAAACTAAAACAATGACATTTAATCTCTTAAAATTTTTATTTTAGAATCTAGAAGGTATGAACTTTTACATAAAAAGTCATGCATCACTGCACAGCAGGAACATACTCTGAAAAATGTGATGTTGAGGTATTTCTGTCATTGTTCAATAGAATATGCTTACAAAGTTACATGATATAACATACTATACACCTAGGCTGTATAGGACAGCCACCACTGTATATATAGTTCATTTCTAGTCCCAATGTCGTTTTGCGCACATGACTACAGTCACTCCTCAGATTGGTTGCAGGACTCCCCCCATACTAAAATCCCAGGATGCTCAAGTGTTTTATATAAAATGATGTAGTGGGGGCCGGGGATTTAGCTCAGTGGTTCCGCCACCTGACTAGCAGGCACATGGTCCCAAGTTCAATCCCTGGTACCAAAAAAAAATAAAAAATAAAAAATAAAAAAAATGATGTAGTAATTGCATATAACCTACAAACATCTTCCTATATACTTTAGGATGTAGCCAGGGGAAGTAGCTCAGTGGCACCGACCTGCCTGGCAAGCACAAGATCCTGAGTTCAATTCCTAGTACTGGGAAGAATAAATAAATAAATCATTGCTAAATTACTTATAATACCTAACTCAAGGTAAATGATATGCAAGTAGTTGTCACACTGTATTGTTTAGGAAACAATGACAGAAGAAAAAATTCTGTACTCATTCAGTAGATGCAATCATTATAGATCAAACTTCACAAGTACAAAGGGAGAGGCAAAGTGGACAATGCTCAAACAAGCACAGGGGAAGACTGAGGATCTGTAAAGTGAGGGGAGATCACAGCAGAGTATGCCTACAGTCACTTCATTCTCAGAGATTCATCATAGTGCTCAGCGTGCAGCATATTTAAGGTTTGTTTTGTGCAATTTTCTGGACTTTTTTTTCTTTTCTTTTCTTTTCTTTTTGGTACTGGGGATTGAACTCAGGACCTTGCAAGCACTTGCAAGGCAGGCGGTAGAACCACTGAGCTAAATCTGTGGCCCTGGACGTTTTTCTTTTTAATATTTTTGACCCAATGTTGGTTAAATTCGATGCAGAACCCATGGATAAAAAAGACCAACTGACAATCTTAAGTTGTTGTTTTATAGGAATAGCAGCTTGAGAAATTCAAGCATAAAACACAACCACAATACAGTAGAATATTATTTGGAAATAAAAAAGAAAAAAAGCCTACATACTACACATATGAACTTTGAAAACATCGATGAGAAGCCAGCAGCAGCAGCGTGAGAAGTCAGTCACAAAGGGACACATATTTTAAGATTGTTTAGAGGCCCGCGGATTTAGCTCAGTGGTTCCACCACCTGCCTCACAAGCGCAAGGTCCCGAGGTTCGATAACCAGTACCAAAAAAGAAAAGATTGTTTATACAAAATAGAAATGTCCAGAATAGACAAATTTACAAAGACAGAAGACAGATTAGTGATAACTAGGAGTTGGGAGGAAACATGGGGACTGACTGCCTAAGAGACTTCGCGAGCTTATTTTTGGAGTGAAGAATTAATGTGATAAAAAAAAAAAAAGAATTAATGTGATATACAACTCCACGCATAAAATAAAAACTGAGTTGTACCTAATTCAGCTAAAATTTTTGGTGTATAAAACCTATCTCAACAAAACTGCTTTAAAAAAAAAAAAAGTTGCCTCTGGTAAGCCATAATGAAACCTGGTAAAGGAAATCGTGGAAGTCACTGATAGGAAAACTAAGCTGGCTACCTGTGATGTTAGAATAGTCAATCTCCAACCCCCCCCCCTAAAAAATATAACATGAAACTTGAGACTGTGAATCAAATAATTCTGGGCACAGGTGGTTTTTAACTAACAGTTAAGTGCCTTCTTAGGCTCTATCACTCCTAAACTGTAGGGGGCTTCCATCCTCGGCGATTACGGAAGTAGTACTTTTCATCTTGAGCAAGCTCAAGAAGGAATGTCAAAATAAGATGACACTTCCCCAGGCTCCCTGTAAAAGCTTAAAAAACCCAAAGGGGTGTCACCTACACACTCCTAAGTCTGTGCACGTGTTAGCCTCCCTCCATCTACACCAGCCAGCAACGCGCACCATTCACCCCTGTCTCAGCCTGCTTCCCACAAACTGACACACTATCGAGCTCCCGGATCTCATTTTTTTAATTGACAGGTATAATTCTCACCAAGTTCCCACTCCAGTCCGACCAGCCTCCGCCCTACCCCTCCCCACTCCAAAACCCACACACGTGTTAGCCCGACACCGCCCCACCGGGTCCCACGTGCACCTGGTCTAACACACACCCTACGTGTGGGTGCCCCACGGGCTTCCTCGGGTAGCTGAGGTCACCGCGTGACCCCGGATCTCCAGAGCTATGAGAAGGAAAGGACAAGGCCCAGGTCCCTGAGGTCCCAAACCTGCGGGGAGTGTCCACACCCATCCTTCCTACCACCCCCAACAAATCCCAGGGCTGGGGGCGACGGCCCCTTTAAGACGCGGCCCAGCCGTCGCCCAGAGAGAGGGGCGCACCGGGCCCTACAAAAACCCCCCTCCGTTCGCCCGCCCACGTCCAGTCACCTCACCTCGGGCCGTGGGGCCCCGCCGCCGCGGCGGCGGCGGGGGGGTAGGGTGCGGGCGGGGTCCGGAGGGGGGGGTCGCCCCGCCGACTATGGAGCCGCGGTTCGCTATCTGAGGCCGTGAAACGGTGACTGCGTTGGACGTAAACGCTCCAAGCTCGCTCCCTCGGCGGCTCCTGGGACCCCAAGATGGCGGCGGCGCTGAGGCGGCTGCGGGCGCTGGGCCGGCGGCGGCGGCGGCCACTTTCACTCACTGAGAGGAGCGGAGCAGGGACACGGGGAGCCATGGCGGGGGGGAGGAGAGGCGCCATAGCCAGGCCAGAACAATCGAGCCGTTACTCGGCTGGCTTACTCCCACCCCGCCCACGCTCTCTGCTAGTCACCAGCCCGTGGCCGCCCGCAGCGTCGCTGCTGTCGACCTTATGCAGCTCGTACCCCGCCGCTGCCGCCTGACGCCCCGCGCGGACCGAGGTTCAGGGGGAGCCCCTCATCCATGCCATCTGAGTGCAGATTGGTCGGGGCTGGGACTGGCGAAGATTGCCGAAAGGTGGCGGGGAGGAGGAGGAGCATGTCCTCGCTGGAGTGAGCAAGCAGATCTCGCGGGAGCAAATGTCGCGAGAGCTCTCCAAGCTTGCTACCGCCGAAAAAAAGGTTACTTTTCCCGGATGTAACGTCAATGGAAACCGCCGGGGATCCTGGGAATACAGCATTTGTTCTAGCAGGAGGCGGGAGGGGCTACAGAGCTCTGACAGTCATGGCGAGGGAACCGGAAAGAGAGTTTGTCCAGTGGTAAGGCCAACTCCAAAACCGTGTCGGACACCGAACCAGTCCCTGTAGCTGCCGGTACACTTCACCCTGGGGACTTCAGATTGTCTTCCGGAGTTGCTCACGCTCGACCCAAAACTATTGCTGAGAAACTACGAAGCTTCGGGGCACTTTCCATTTTAACGCGTCAGGTGAGTCGCCTTGGCACCTGTGGCCTCAGAATTCTCTTTCTTCCCATTTGTATTTGGTCCTAAGGGTTCCATGTAAGGGGACCCCCCCCCCGGGATAATTTCATAAAGGGACATTCGCTTTGGGCAAGCACTATAAGAAGTTTTTGTTCCTGAAAAAAACAGTTGTAGGGCCGGAGATTTAGTTCAGTGGTTTCGCGGCCTGCTACGCAAGCGCAAAGACCCGAGTTCGATCCCTGGTACCAAAAAAAAAAAAAAAAAAAAAAAAAAAAAAAAAAAAAATCCCATGAAAAAATCAGTTGTTTACTATGATGTGTTTTGTTTCTCCCTGTGTCATGGGTAACTCCAGTTTGATTCCAGATTGCAGCTCAATGAGGTATATCCTTCAGAATTATAGTGCTTTAGTCATGAGCCTTTGAAAAGCAAGAAAAAGAAATTATTGTAAAGTTTTTTTGACCCCAGTTTTCTCTTTATTCGATACTGGGAATCAAACTCAGGGCTTTGCACTCGCCAGGCAGGCGCAGTGCCACTAAGCTACATCCCTGGCCCCAACCTGAGTTTTCTTCAGACTCAGGAGAAGAATGGCCTTAAGTTCAGGAGAAGAATGGCATTAAACTATTAAATGAAACCTTAAGTTATTGTAACACGCAGCAATAAGAATTATGAGTTTTTAAAAAATAAAGAATTATGAATTTTGTTAGAGAAGGCAAATGAGAAGAAGTCCCATGTGCACAGTCCTTCCTGGTACTTTACCTGCTTAGCACAGATGTCAAGTCATAGTTCAAGAGGCAGAAAAAGAGCCGGGGATTTAGCTCAGTGGTTGCACCGCCTGCCTCACAAGCAGAAAGACCCGAGTTCGATCCCCGGTACCAAAAAAAAAAAAAGAGGCAGAAAAATCTAATCCTGATCTATGGAACAGGAGAGAAATGAAGAAATAACTGTAAGTGCTCTAACTTCACACCACTAGCTTCCTCAGCTGGTGGCCACAGCCACTCAACCCCTTTATGTGGGCCAACGGAGGTAAAAAAAAAAAAAAAAATCATTGGAAGGGGGCGGGGTTTTCCTAAAATGGTGTCTCCTTCCTATCCCTATTTTGGTACCCAATTTGGACAGAATCCTGCCAGTGCTCAGGCGGAGTAATTAGTTGGAGTAATTTGGCACTGATTTGTCTGCAAACAGACAACCAGCTAGAATAATTTGGGTACGTTATCTTATTCTCTGCTTTTTATTTAATTGGACAAAATAGTGGTCCTTTGTATCTATCCCACATGGAAGATTTGCCTCCATTTTTGCTACCTATCACCCTATTTGCACTGATTATTGTCTCTTAGGAACATTATGTTCCATCTCAGTGGCTCCATCTAGTGTGTCCAGTGAATTCTGCTAGACCAGAAGCAAGTGAAATGTGGATTGCCCCACCTCAAAAATTATAGGAGGGCCAGGGATTTAGCTCAGTGGTTCCGGCGCCTGCCTCACAAGCGCAAGGTCCCGAGTTAGGTCCCTGGTACCAAAAAGAAAAAAATTATAGGAGAAGCCTATTAATGAGATTTCAAAGGTGAGTCTCTAACAAGTATTAATTTTAATTTTGTTTAGTCTCTCCTACATTTTAGATGACACCACACAGGAGGCTAAAAAACCTCAGGAGGATTCTTCCAAATTTTTGGAGCACCATCTATCAGGTGTACTGACAGTATATGGGTATCAGTGCTGAGGGTCCAGAAAATCAAAAGATGGTAAACATGACTTTTCCCAGCCAAAGTGCTGCTGATACATAAAGGAAACTACAAAAGGTGATGGTGTTTTGGGAATGTCAACTTCACGCCTAATAGAAATGGCTTTTAAAGTTTATAATAACAGATCAAGCACAGGATTTGAAGAAACAATGGAAAATAAACAACAGGGTTCCTTGCGGGAGCAGCACTCAAAGAAACCCAGAAGAAAAAACAGAAAGGATTATGAGGATAACTCAAAGAAAGTAAATAAACAGACACCTCCAGGAAAGAATCAGTGCAGTTATTGCAAGGGTGAAGGACACTGGATTAATGATTTCCCCGAACTGACAAAAGAATTATAAAAACAAAGTAAGAATTCTGCCACCCAAATGTCAGAATTAGAAAGAGGCATTTCAGATGAAGAATGAAAAATTCATTGAGTGAATGAAAAATCCATGAGCTTTCTTAGATTTAACGTGACCTCACATTATATCTCCATAGGAGCCTGAGTACAAATAACAATGGAGAACAAATTTATTGACTTTCTTGTGGATACATATGGGGACACTTACTCTGTCCTTAATGCCTATCTCCTGATTCAAAAAATTTTATGACTAGGGCCAGGGATTTAGCTCAGTGGTTTTGCCGCCTGCTGCGCAAGCGCAGGACCCAAGTTCGATCCCCGGTACCAAAGAAAAATAAAATAAAATAAATAACACAACTTTAAAAAAAAAAAAATTATGACTGTTAAGAGGGTATCAGGAAAAGCCTTACTCTTGCCTTTTCTAAAGCCTTTTGAATGCTACCTTGGTGACATGAATTTAAAATAGCCCATATATGCCTGAGTACCCCCTTTCTCTGTTGGCCATGACTTGCTTGTAAAACTAAATACTCAGGTAACTTTTTCAACAGGCTGGCTAGAAATAAATGTTTCACCTGAACATGCCTGAACCCTCCAGGTGCCACTGCTACAAAGTAACTCAGTGGAGCCCTAGGAGTTAACAGAAGACGTATTAAACCAAGTAAAAGGATGTATGGGTGGACAAGAACCGGAATTGCCTAAACTACCATGCCTGTCTGGGTGCTCCTAAAGGAAGGCCATAAAATATTTCAAACAATATCCCTTTGAGAAGTAACCCACAGGCACCAAAAAACAGCCAAGAGTCTTGAGTTAACACCCCAAGGCTTATTCTTTGCTTTTTCATGCTCACAAAGATCAAGAGACTTTCATTAAACCCAGGAGGCCCAAAGCCAGAATGATTAAGAAGCTTTTCCTTCATCTGGTTAAAAGCCTGTTGGCAAGTCCACTGTAAGGGTCCTAGTTTCTTTACAAGAAGGGACACAGAGAAAGGCACAAGAAGCAATAGAAGAGCCACTCCAGGCATCCTTTTTAAAACCAGGTCTAAAAAAATAAAACAAGGTCTAACAAGATCATCCCATTCTCCATGGGTAATGGTTTCCTTTCAGTTAGGGAGAAATGGCCCTCTGCCTTGGAAAGTTTAAATCCTATTTAACAGTCTTTTGACAGATAAGGGCTGTTTCTTGAAGACTCTATGTCCCCTAGCAGCAAAGAAATTTAAGATCTGAACAGCTGTTTTGTTTTGATTTTTGAGACAGGGTCTCGCTATGTAGCTGGCCTTCACCTAACCGTGTGACCCAGGCTGGCCTCAAACTCATGCCAATCCTGCCTCAGCCTCCCAAGTGCTAGGATAGTTGTTACAAGCTGTTAAAGTGAACTAAAGAAAATAATGAAAAGGAAACATTGGCTGACCAAACTGCCAGGAGGACCACAAGAACCACGAGTTTTCAGGCTCTTTTGACTTCACTGATCCCACAAATTGATCTTGATCAATACTAGCCCCTGTCACACCCTTAAGACTTAAAAAGAGCAAAAGAATGGCAGGTTGAAAGTTCTTCCCCAGAACATTTCTATTGGAAATGCAATGCTTATGTATCATCCTCGGTCCAGAGGCTCTATAAAGGAACTCTACTCCTGTACCTCTGCTACCCTTCAGCGGGTCCAGAGGTATCTGATAGACCTCGACCTACAAAGACTTGTCCACACATTCCCCAATTTCATATAACCCAAAGACTTGGAAGAATTCAACACTGAGGATGAATCTCTTGTGAAGAAGATTGGCAAATAGATTCTTCCATGATACCAAGGTCTCCTGGAAGTCTAATATTTGCTAGTTTTCATACACATCTGTAATGAGTAAGTTGGAATCTATTCCTCCAGGACAGAAAAGGCCTCTGAAATAACCAAAGCCATATTGAAAGAATTATTCCTAGGTAAGGATTGGCTGTGTCTATACAAAGTGACAGTGGGGCTGATTTTGTGACTAAAATAGCTTCAAGGAGTATCCAGGATCTTAGGCATCACCTAGAAATTATGTGCTTCATGGAAA